GAGGGAACACTGGGTTTTACGACAGCAGTCAATACTAGAATAAGGCTTTTTTGTTAGTTTCAAGTCTTTTCTTGAATTCAAATTTCACCATCTGTCACAATGGGATCTGAACCCATGCCCCCACAACACTAGCGCAGAGCTCTGGATTAGTAGCTCAGTATCATTGACACTATGCAATGTAGGACTGACATATCATCACACCACAGCAAGATACCACAGGCACTAAGGGGATAAGTGACTTTGAGACATATTGCTGGTGATGGCATATTGGCCAGGACCCGCCAACTCCAACAATCATGGAATCCCTTCAGTGTGGAAGCAGGCCATCCAGCCCATCAAGTCCACACTGACTCTAAAAAGCATCCCAGACCACCAAGCTACATCCACCAACCCCCCCAACCCTACCCTATCCCAGTAACTCCGCATTTCCCATAGCTAGTCTACTGAGCCTGCACATCCATGGACACCAATTTAGAATAGTCAATCCACTAACAATGCCACTCGGGCTTCCACATTCACTGGAACGGAGTAGCAGGGTCTCACTTTAGTTCCACATTTGAAAGACGGCGCTTTAAACAGTGCAGCACCACCTCAGCACTGCACGGGACTCACTGACACCCCCACAAACCCTGTGCCCATGTGGCAAGGGCAAAAACTCTTCACTATCTGAGAGAGGCAACAGTGCTTCCCACCCAACAGTGCTCACAGCCTCAAAGTCTGCCGGAGTGCTCTGGTTTAATATTTTTTAGCTTTAAGAGAAAGCCCATTGTCTCTGTTGCCAGGGAGAGCCAGGGTTTGAGACGGAGTATGGGATACCTCATCGGGATCTGACAATCAGGGTTCTGAGTAGTTGACAGTATGGGCTGAAGCAGTAGCATCCCATCATATACTGGTGAAGGAAGTTGTGATGCACACCACGAGGAAACTGCCTTCCTTTATACGTTTTAAAAATAGACTCCATTGGCTAAACAGTGAGTTAAGTGCACAGGCACAGGCACACAAGCATTCATTAAACTATTTTAGGAGCAGCGGAACAGCTATTTCATGACCCCTGAACTGTTGAAGGAACAGTAACCAACTTTCAAAGCAAAATAAGTTTAGTAATTGAGTGAGCTTGAAGGACTTCAGCCTGAGCTTCCTCTCCAGTCGCCTGTGTGTGCTCACATCGTTCTTAGGGAGACAGATTTGTGGCTGACAAAATGACTCACGATATACAGCGACTCACAAGTATGTCAAAGATGGTTAATCAGTGAAACAGAAACCTACATTTTCAGATCCGCTTTGTTTCACACTGGCTTTAACTCGATTTATTATTTTCTAACTGGTTAATACCAGAATTTAGGCTGGACAGTCAAAAGTTCCAAGGTTGTGTTGCTAAGGGGCAAGACAGAACTTTGCGAGAGGCAAGATGCTTCTTGTTTTATACTGACTTCTTCATTAGGACACGGAGCTAGTGGTCTTTGTGACTTGCATGTCAAAGGCTCCAAATCGCTGTGACCAACCATCCTATGGTCAGCCACAAGGATTCCTGTCTTCGAGGGGAGATAACAAACCCTTTAGAATGTGGGATTCACTCACCCAACAGTAGAGTGGAGCAGGCCCTGTCTTTAAGGAAGGGTCACTCGACCTGAAACCTGATTTTTCTCCAGATGCTGCCAGACCAGCTGAACTTTTCCAGCAATTTCCACTTTTGTTTCTGTCTTTGAGGAAGCCTGGGTGAACAATCGACCAGATTGACTCATTGAAAGCGATGGACATTCTCACTGAGGTGCAGGAGTGCTGTCCTCTCAGCTCCAGGTAACCCACTAAGTGAACACCCTATGTATTAGGCTCATTTTGGTAGCAAGGCCCTTAGTGACCCAGTTCAGGCGAACTGTGAACTTTTGACCTTCAAACTTAATATTCTGGCACCTTCGTTCCTTCAAACCTCTGCAGAATTCTTACACACACTTGAATATCTCTACAATGGTTGAAGAACACATTGAGACGTTTGTAAGGGGGGGGCGCTTCTGAAAGAGACTATACACTCATGGTCTGGCAAATGGTATTCTCCCGTTGAATGTTTTAGTGGTTTGGTTAGGGTACACATCAGTGTCCATCTGTCAAGTAACCAGCTGACCAAGATTATTAAAAGAACACCCTGGAGCCTCTCACCTGGTGAAAACAGTTGTGATCTAAGCATCTAAAATGATTCTTGTTTTGATAACTAGTGGAAAGTTTGACTTGAAAGCAGGGCAATGAAATCAACACTTCACACAAGTTCCTCACTTCATTTCTAACAAACCCCTGAGATCTGCCCCTCTACCTGAGCACATTGCTCACTGACTCCTTCATCCAGGTGTTTGGGTAAATAAGGCACTCCATCCTCTTAAACTACTGGATTATACATCCTTTAAATCCACCCGTTTGCTCTAATGCACCTCACTGGAACCCAGGCCTTTTATAGATTCCAACGTCGGCATACAAATTGAGCTGGAGTCTCTCACATGACCTCTGTGGTTACTGTCTTCAAGATTTCACATGGTTTAAGCATTAAATAAGGCATGGGATCTCGGATACATCCTCTTGGCTTTTAAGTTCCCAGGGGCACACATCGAAAATTAGGTTCCACAGGGTTGGGTGCCTGCAATTTTTAAAAATTTATTCACAAATACTGCCAGCCAGGTCAGTATTAGATTCCTGTTTCCAGATTAATAGTCAACCACATTGCCAATGGTCTGGAGTCACATGTAAGCCAGACCAGGTAAGGATGGCAGATTTCCTTCCGCTAAAGGAACCGGGTGGGTTTTTTCCAACAATCGATAGTGGTTTCAAGATCATCATTCAACTCGTAATTCCAGAATTTTATTGGATTCAAATTCCACTATCTGCAGGATTCAAACCTGGGTCCCTGGATCAATGGTCTAGCGATAATACCATTAGGCCAACACCTCCCTATTGAAATGGAATGGTATCCTCATCAAATCAGCGAAACATTCAGAGGCAGAAACTTCATTTACCAGCCACCGACAGTATGTTCACTTTCATCCCAACCCCTTCCTCCTGCACAAACCTCTCAATGCATCCTTCAATTAAACTCAGACTTTGATGTCAAATTTGGAGATAGCCAAGTGTGCATGTTATTTCTGCAGAGGTGACAGGCAATGCAGGAGGAGAACAGGAACCAGACTTTAAGCCTGAAGGTCAAAAGTGAACTGCAAAACAAACAAACACACCGTGCCCAATTACTCAATGGACACTCAGACAACGTTAACATTGTGTATCAGGAACTGAAATACAGTAGCGGGGTTTACTTCAACATGTATAGTAGAATTAAATCACTGGGAACTTCAGGTCACAAAAGCCCCAGAGCAGTTAATTGGCAAAAATGTGACAATGAACTTTTCAGTTCAATCTGAGCAACCTTTGGTCCTGTGGGTTGACCTTGAGCTGCAGGTCGAACATGTCCATAGCAACACGGGAATAGGAGGTCATTCTGTCCACCCAATTAGAACATGGCTGACTGGTACCTTAATTCCATCCTTCTGGTTCCTTGAACAGTGAGCCATTCACAAGGAGCTCGACATTGGAAGGCTGTATCCACCTGCAGGACAATCTCAAAAGCTTCCTGAGGAGAAGGTCTGTCTGATTACCTCAGACCAGAGAGGGGAGATTTCTTCCCTCAAGAGGGTGGTAAATCCTCTCTCCCCCAGAGGATCGTGGGCACGTGCCATTGTTGAATACATTTAAGGTTGGGACAGAGAGACCTCTTTTATTCAGGGAATTAAGGGAAATGGGGAATAAACCCTGCCTCCCCCCCGAGACTATCCATGACCATCTAGATCTGGGTCTGCGTGGGATGTTTTCAGAGGGTCAGTGCAGACCCAATGGTCTCTTTCCACACCGCAGGGATTCTATGGATTTGTCATATTGCACAAGAAAACAAAAAAGTTTGCCTTTTTACTTCTTGTGCTAAATATCCGTGACCTCCTCCAGCACCACAACCCTCCTGGTGAACTGGCTATTTTTACAACTTCACGTTCCTCCAATTCTGAAGAAGGGGCACTGGACTTGAAACGTTAACTCTGCTTTCTCGCTCCACAGATGCTGCCAGATGTTGAGCTTCACCGGAAATTTCTGGTTTCGTCCCTCCAATACCGACTGCTTCTGCTCCAGAAACCTTTCACCCTGCTGTCGGCGGCCAGACCTAGTGAGGTCCCAAACTCTGGAAATCATTCCCCAAGTCACTTTGGCTCTATACTGCACCCTCTATTTTGAATACGTTCCTGAAAACTCCACTCTGACAACTTCAGACCACTTGGCCCAAATTTCAGGGGGCTAAGTAGGGTGAACCGCCATTGGATAAAAGCCAACATTGGGACAATAGTCCTCACCACAGCATCCTTCAGATCCCCACTCCACCCCCTGTATGCTCCTCTTTGTTCAAACTGAACCTAAGGCCAGTTAAACCCTTGCATGGTAGGTCGATTTTCATTGTAAATGCTTCCCAATTGGCACTCAGACCAAAGTGTCATTTCCTTCCTCAGTGGGGGCCAGTCTCTGAGGGGTCATGTGCTGGGCATCAGGCTAAGAGTTGCCTGCAGATTGGGTTAAGTCTACATTGTCTGGGACCTCTTGTCACCCCAGAGATGAAGATTTTTTTTTAATTCATTCACAGGACGAGGGCATTGCTGACTAGGCCAACGTTTATTCTCATCCTAATTGCCTAGAGGGCATTTAAGAATTAACCACAATTGCTGTGGGTCTGGAGACCAGGTAAGGCCAGCAGATTTCCCTTCCTAAAGGACATTAGTGAACTAGGTGGGTTTTTCCTGACAATGGATTCATGGTCATCATTAAATAGATTTAGGGATGGGTGGAGTATACAAGTAGTTTTAAATTTCAGGCAAAGTGATGATTCCAGTAAAAGGAGTCATTTCATTCAGTCAAGGTGAGATTGTTAACAAACGTCAACGAACTGCAGTCTATGAAGATTCTCATAGCCCGATAATGTTACTTACCTCCTCTTGGCCTTTAAACCACTGGTACTGCAGAGGGCTAGGTCCAACAGCAACACACTGGAGAGTTACAGGACACCCAGCTGGGACAGAGGCAGACTCTGGCTGCTTTGTGATCACAATACCTGCAGGGGGTGAGAGACCCAGGTCTCGTTAAAAATCAGAAATATTTTACTACCGCGCAAACAAATAAACAAAGGAATGAGCCTGAAACTGCAGAGCTATCACTGAAGGCTCTTCTCACCAGACACGCAGTTACAGAATGCTGAAATAACACTACAGAGGCCGGTATCTGTCACCAAGTTCCCCCTTTATTTACACATGAACTGTCTTTGACTATAGTACTACTTCACACAAAGTCAGGCACCAGAGTGTCAGAATCCCTGACATTCACCCTTTTATATCAGCCAGGGCTGTTTGGACCAGATTAAAGCTCCAATCAGAGAGCTCCATTGGTTGACCTCATTACAATCACTACCAATGCAGTGTTTTAAAGAATGCAACACCCTGACAATAATCTTGAGTGGCAATTTTGACCCGATTCAACGGTTAAACGACAAACAGAATCAGGTGTAAACACTGGCTTCACACATCTCTGATTTTTAACATTTCAGCAGAATATGGGTCCTCGTGACAAGTCCACTTCACATCATCCCTAGCACATTTCCAACACAACTAGTTTAGTTCATCAGATCCACACAATGTTCACTTTAGCAGGGGGGAAAGAAAGACCTATTATTTAAAAGGAGAACTTCTGCAGAATTCCAAGGTGCAGAGGAATCTGGGTGCTCCCCAGTGCATGACTCACAAAAAGTTAGTACATGGGTACAGCAAGTATTTAACGTGGTTACTGGGATGCTATCCTGTATTACGAGAGGAATTGAGCAAAGTAGTAAGGCTGTCATGCTCCAGTTATAAACGACTTTGTAAGACCACATCTTATATACTGTGTGCAGTCTTCTCATTAAAAGGAGGGATGGAAATGCATTGGAAGTGATTGAAAGGAGGTTTATTAGATCGATGCCTGGAATGAGTGGGTTGTCTGATGAGGAAAGGCTGGGCTTGATTCCACTGGAGTTTAAAAAGAGCGAGAAGTGATATGATTGAAATGTGCAAAACCCTGAACTGTCTCGACAAGGTGAACGTGAAAAGGATGTTTTCTCATTGTGGGAGAGTCCAGAACTAGGCAACAGCGTCTTAAAATTAGGGACCACCCTTTTAGGAACAGAGATGAGGGGAGCCATGCTTGTGATCCTGAGGCTGAGCGATATAATGGGACAGAGACTATCCTTCAAAACCAAAACACTGTCAGACAACTGAGGGCAAATAGTTGTTTGACCATCCTGTCCCTTCTCTTATAGTACAGTATCTTCCGTTTTCCTGATGGCTACCTCAACAGCATCTTCCCGGTCCTTTCTCCACCCCTGAACCCAAACGAGTCTCAGTCTCTCTTCAATCAGTCATGGACATAACTCCATCATTCACCTGCTTTCTGCATCTTGGATCCTCTGATCCAATGGAGCTGGGTCTACGTGTCTTGGCACAGGTCATGTAGAGTGGAGTTACATCTGAGCCTCCAATCTGGCTATTCCTTCCATTGGTGTTTCTTCTTTTTGGGATCTTGCTGTGCATTCATGTGACTTTCAACATCTGAAAAGGAATCTGGTCACTGAGGGAAAATCTAAGTTCCTCTTGTAACCCTCTGGTAGCTATTTTGGCGAGGTATGATCAATGGATTTGAAAAGCGTTACACAAGAACAACAAAGGTGCAGGGCTGGATGAACACAGCAGGCCAAGCAGCATCATAGGAGCAGAGAGGCTGACGTTTCGGGCCTAGACCCAAGGAAATGGCTCGGAAATGGAAATAGTCATTTTCACACACATTGCTGGAGAAACTCAGCAGGTCTGGTACCATCTGTGAAGAGAGAAACAGAGCTAACATTTTGTGTCCGGTTTAACTTGCATTCTGAAGAAGAATCTTATCGGACTTGAAACATTAACTTTATTTCTCTCTCCACAGATGCTGCCAGACCTGCTGAGTTTCTCCAACGTTCTCGGTGTTTGCTTCAGATTTCCAGTATCTGCACTATTTTGCTTTTACTGAAGTGACTTTTCCGGGTGATTTCGGGATTAAACCTCATTGTTACCCACCAACAACCTCACACCCAATGCTGTAACACGGCTGTTACAAAAGTCACATTTATTTTAAGTGTTAGATAACAAGGTGTAGAGCTGGATGAACACAGCAGGCCAGGCAGCATCAGAGGAGCAGGAAAGCTGACATTTCAGGTCTTCTGAAGAAGGGTCCAGACCCAAAACATCAGCTTTCCTGCTCCTCTGTCCCGAGACAGTAGATACGTTCAATTATATTTTGAAGTCCTCAGCTGAGTTGACCATTGCAAATACATATCACCCCTCTGGTAAAGGCATTTTTCTGATTATTATTAAACTGGTCAGGGTCCACAAAAGATTTACCAGGATGTTGCCAGGAATGGAGGGTTTATGATATAAAAATAGACTGGGGCTTTGTTCACTGGAGTGTAGGAGGTTGAGGGGTGACCTTATTCAGATTTATAAAATCATGGAGGGGCATTGGTAACGTGAATAATAAGAGTCTTTTCCCAAGGATGGGGGGAGTTCAAAACTAGGGGGCATGTTTTCAAGCTGAAAGGAGAACATATAAAAAGGACACAAAGGGGCAACTTTTTTTTTTTTTTTGCACAGAGTGATTGGCGCGTGGAATGAACTTCCAGAGAAAGTGGTGGATGCAGGTACAGTTACAACATTTAAGAGACATTTGGATAAGTTCACAAAGGGAAAGGTTTGGAGGGATATGGCCCAAGTGCAGGAAGGCAGGTCTAGTTTAGTTTGGGATTATGGTTGGCATGGACTGGTTGGACCGAAGGGTCTGTTTCCATGTTGTATGACTATATAATGTTATAAATTTTGTTTGCTTCTGGTCCAATACATCCTAAAGCAAAATTATATGTTTACAATGAGTTTAGACTTTATCTATCCTCTCTCTAGGCTGCAAGTTTCTCTCTCCTCGTAATTCATTCTTCCCTCAGGCTTGGGATCATTTTTATTACTGCCTCTCTCAAACCAATTCAATATGCATATCTTTTGAAATGGTGCAAGTGCATAATACCTCAAACATAGGGCTCTCACAACAGGTCAGTCCACTGCATTTTGAAAACAACTGTCTGCACTGTGAAAAAGGCTACTCTGAGGTTTACGTGCTCGAGTTGAGCCTGGGGTCTGAACTCTTGACCTTCTGACTCAAGACTAGTGTGCTACCACTGAGTCACATCCTACAATAAACGTCAACAACTTCCTGAAGTTTGCTGTGGAAAGTGTGATCCTTGTCTTGCACCTCTTGGATTTCAGTCTCCCCTTGCTACATCAGTGAGAGGATGGGACTGCGTGATAGTGGATGGGTGTGGAAGATGTAAAATCAGTCTCTGTACCATACACCCTGCAGCTTTGGTGAATGCAGCAGGAAGGTTTAGGCGACACAGGAATGATGAGGTGACCCTTTTAGAAGATGCTGGCTACGCTCTGCCATTTTCTACCCATGAGCTGATTTAACCCTGACTGTGGCGAATCAGTTAATGCTCACTGAATAAAATCGGGCAAGGATTGGCCTAGTGGTGTTATCACTGGATTGTTTTCCAGGTATCCTGATAATGTCTGAGGGATTCGGTTTGAATCCCGCCACGGCAGATGGTGGATTTTGAATTCAGTAAACAAAAATCTGGAATTAAGAGTCTAATGACCATGGATCCATTGGGCCACATTTATTATTTCTGACCTTGGTCAATTGTTGGAAAAACCCATCTGGTTCACTAATGTCCTTTAGGGAAGGAAACTGCCTGGTCTGGCCTTCACGTGACTCCAGACCCACAGCAATGTGGTTAACTCTTAACTGCCCACTGGGCAATTAGTGGTGGGCAATAAAAGCTGCCTAGCCATCGATGCCCTCATCCCGTCAATGAATAAAGAGGAAAAAAGAAAGCGCTTGGAATTTTATCAGGATTCCTTCTTGGAATTTTGATGGCAGTTTGGCAGAGATCCTGATTACAGCTTTAAAGTCCTCATTCACAGTTGTGGTTGCATTCATGAGCATTACAAATTTAAATGAAATATCGGTTTCCATAGAGAACAGTGTCAAAATTATAGTTAGGTTCTTGTCAGAAAAAGAAGCAAATATTAAAACTCAACAACAGCCAAGCTGAAATATTTTACATTGATCAAATTTTACACTGCTAAGTGAAATAACTTTTGTATTAAGTTTAAGAATGTAAAGGAAAATGCAACTTCCTTCTTGGAGCATCTCCTGCCAACAATCCTGCTCCCCAGACCTCCCAATCCCTAAATCCTCGCCATCACACCCCCACTCCCTGAACTCTGAGCAGTGCAACACTTTGGGGCCCACAATTCCACAATCCCAGAGCTCAGGCATTGGATTGGATCCGGATCTTGAACAGGATTGCAAGTCCAGGAAAGGGAAGAGGCGAGAAAGTGAGAGAGGCAGTGGAAGGTTTTATGAGAGGGGCACAGGAAAACAGCCTGCAAATCAGGGGTGCTGGAGTGGGGTGGAGGCCGTTACTAAATGTGCCAATCAGATAACACAGGAAATGAAGTGAAAACAAATTTCTGCTGCATTCAATGAGATTACAGACCTCCACCCCACCAACGACTTATTGTGAAACAATGTCCAGTGAAGACTGAATGCAACAGGAGACAAGTGCACAGCAAGGCTCATCTCGTAATTCAGAGATAGTAGGAACTGCCGATGCTGGAGTCTGAGATAACACACTGTGGAGCTGGAGGAACATAGCAGGCCAGGCAGCAACAGAGCAGCAGGAAAGCTGACGTTTCGGGTCTGGACCCTTCTTCAGAAAATAGCAGAAAATTTTCTAAAGAAGGGTCCAGACCCAAAATGTCAGCTTTCCTGTTGCTCTGATGCTGCTGGCCTGCTGTGTTCCTCCAGCTCCGCACAGTGTTATCTCCTCTCATGATTCGGTTGGTAAGGGCACAGAAGGGTCAGTGTTCGAGTCCCACTCCGTAGACCTGAGCTCAAAACTGAAGGCTGGCATTCCCAGTGCAGTACTAAGGGAGTGGTACACTGTCAGAGGTGCCGACATTCAGATCAGATATAAAGAAAAGTGACCCAATCTGCCATCTTGGGGGTGGAACGGGGTAGGGGAAAGAACGTTAAAGATCCATGATATTGTTTTGTAGAACAGGGCAGTATTCCCCTTCACTGATCAGCTGGTTAGTCCGGACACTTGCATCTACACCCCACCCGACCATCTGCTTTTACTTAATGTCCTGTTCATCTGCCTTACATCAACATCAGCTTCAGTCTGCAAACACTCTGTCACAAACATCACCTAACTACCCCCAGGTCACCTCTACTTTCTATTCGCAGCACTTCCCCATCGCTCCCCCGCATCCTACTTTGCCCTCGAGAAGAAATCTCTGGAGTTTCTCAGTTCTGAGAAAACCGACACTTTCTGGATGTCACTTTCTTTTTTTAAAAAAAAGTTTCGTTTTGCTTTGCCATTTTCAACACCTAAGCTCGTCTTGCCATTTGCATGTTTAGCTTTTAGCGTAATTTTTAGTATATATCTCAGCATCCACAATTCAAATTTAATCATTATTATATTGCTGCTTGAGAGAGTTTAGAGTCATAGAGGTTTACAGCATGGAAACAGGCCCTTCAGCCCAACTTGTCTGTGCTGCCCAGTTTTCATAATTAATCTAGTCCCGCTGGCCTACATATCCCTCTGTACCTACACCATCCATGCACCTGTTTAAATGTTTCTTAAATGACAAAATTGTACTCGATCCCACCAGTACCTCTGGCAGCCCATTCCAGACACTCACCATCCTCTGTGAGAAACAAATTGCCCCTCTGGACCCTTGTGTCACTCCCCTCTCACCTGAAAACCTGTAGGCTATCTACATTACCTATGTCTCATGATTTTATAGACCTCGGTAAGGTCACCCCTCAGCGTCCTACACTGCAAGGAGAAAAGTACCAGCCTATCCAGCTCATTGTGTACGAATTGGCTGTTCCCTTACCACACATCACCACATTACAACCATAAACACATTTCACTTCCAGTCACGTAATCAAGCCTCTCTTTCTTCGGTATTTAATCTTGTCTCTTACCTGTCCTCTCTCTGGACTGTAGAGTTGAGTTCTTTTTAGACCGCTCCCCCCAGCTCATTCTCCTCTCGGCCAGAATCTTTTTCAGTTCCCTCGTTTGCGCCTTTTCAGGGGGAAGGCTGTCTGTGCATCTTTCTGGCTTTGTTAAGGCAGGAAGATGACTGTTCATTAAACAAGGATGCAGCAGTGTTATGTGACTGGAAAGTGAGAGCGAGAGAGAGAGAGAGAAAGAAAGAGTGAGCTTGCATTTACAAATTCTCATATTAGTCACTCAGCAGGCCAACTAACCTCCTGATCCTCCAGGATAGGAGAAGTAAAAGCAAACAGCACAACCACATCCGCGTCCATTTATAGAGGCACACTGGGCTCAGACCCAAGCTTGGAAAAGTCCCTAGGTTTCCAGTGCTTTGGCATACCCTGCACAAATCAGCTTCCAGCAACACAGTCACCACACCTCTCCACACTCTAAGGTACTCTCAGGCTGTACGGCAAGATATTATTTCTTGACAGTCATTTCGAAAAAGGAAGATGCCCCACACCTCCACATTGAAGGGCATTATGTACAGGATAGCTCAGAAACTCTGAAGATTGATTTGCCTTTGGAGGCTGAAGCACTTTAAATCAATTTGTCCCTTCTGGTTTGTAGCCAATAAAGTTGATGGTTTCATTGGTGGTCATGCGGGGATGGGTGGAGGGGTTGAAATATCTTTCGGTATGCACAAGTTACCGGCTGCGATGTGAGCTGTGACAGTGGGACGCACAATATAAACAGAAGCTCTCCTCCTTTCGGACCAAGAGTAGAATCCCTCTGCAGTGGGAACAAGGCATTGGGAGTCGATCAGGATGCAGTGCAGCCGAGGCACTGCCGAAAGCAGGGCCCATCACACAGACTCATCTGGCTATACACGGCGACACCAGGCTTACACAGTGCCAATCAGATTGATCGCAGTCACTGCTGCAGGGGACTAAACTGACTTTACAAACATAGATTGTATCACATCATTCTCCAGAACTCTGTATGGCAAATAAAGCGGCAATAATTAGACGATTTGGTTGCTAAGAGAGACAGGAGTTCTGTTCGCTGCAGCTCATTGAGTGAGGATGACTGTCAGGGCCCTTATAACACAGTGGTAGTGTCCCTGCCTCTGAGCCAGGAGGACTAGGTTCAAGTCCCGCCAGCTCCAGAGGTGTGTAAAATTATCCCTGAACAGACTGATTAGGAAATATCTGAACTGTTTGCTGTCAATCTCCTCCACCCTCAAACTCATTGCCGACACAGCAGTGCCTGTCCTCTTCAATGACCTGACTGTTGTAAAGTCCCACCTGGCATACCAACACCCTCTGGGCACTAAATCCAACCAAATTCCCCGGTTTGACCATAAGTGACTCCAGGCCAGCTGCAATCTCATTGACTCTTCACTGCCCTGCCTGCTCCCTCAACTCCCGAAACACCACACTCCGTCACACAATAGCATGACTGAACAGCCAGTTAAGGATTAAAGGGAATGTAGCAACTGGTACTGACCTGGGCATCAGGGATACCAATGACAGGCGTCCCTGCACATGCCCTCTTCATGAGTATTTGGAACCTCGTGCACACGTCCCATAGGCCAGTCAAGCACAGTCATACGCAGACTCACTGAATCAGGCAGCACAAGTCTGGGACTCTTCCTTCACCATGTCTTGGTTTGTCCTGCCCACCTACAGGACAGACCTAGCAGGTCTGGAGTAGGTGGGTCTTTAGCTCAGGAGGTATGGACATTACACTGTGCCACAAACTCTGGGTGGGAGACCTTAATAATGCCCACCCAGGATCACTAAGTCTAGATGGTCTGTGGCTGGTAGCAAGGGAACCAACAAGAAGAGAAATTAACTATTGCTTATCTACCTATCATAGGTACATCTGTCCATGGCAGTATTGATTGGAGTGACCACCACAATGTCTTTAAGGAGACAGTCCAGTCTCCACATTAAAGATACCTTCCATCGTGTTCTCTAGCACCAACTGCGGTGAATGGGACAGATTCCAAAACAAGAAAGCAGCTCAAACCTGGGCAGTGAGCCATCGCTAGCAGCAGAATTGCAGTCACCACAGTCTGCAACCTCATGGCCCAGTCTATCCTCCACTCTACCCCTACCATCAAGCCAAGGGATCAATTCTGGTTCAGAGGAGTGCAAGAGGGCATGCCAGGAGCAGCACCAGGCCTGGCTGAAAATGAGGTGCCAGCCTGGTGAAGTTACAACACAGGACCACTTTCATGTCAAACTGCAGAAGTAGCAAATGATAACGTGACAAGTGAAACAGTATGACAGGGCCAAAAGATCCAACAACCAACTGATCGGGAAGTTCAAAGCGCTGCAATCACACACTCAGACGTTGGTTACAATACAAGAGGCTCTTTGGCCCATCATTTCTCTACCTTTTCACCAAAGCCCTGAAGATCATTAGGAAACTATCCAATTCCCACAACGAATCCACCTCCAGTACGCTCTCAGGCAGCACGGATTCTCAGATCCTCACCGCTCACTGCATTATTTTATTCTCATTCTCCGTAATTGTCCCCCCTCTCTGGTTCAGCACCGTGCTAACAATTTCCCGTGATCTCCTCTGTCCAGAATCCTCGGGATTTTGAGCACCTCTATTAAATCCCCTGCTCCACCTTCCCTTTTCTAAAAAAGGAAAGGGCCACAATTTCTCCAGACCCTCCACGTTAACATTGTTCATGTTAGTTAATCATTGACAGTGGGTGGCATTCCACCTGCAGTGCAGGACTCATCCTCAAAACCACCGTGAGAGAGGGACTCGTACTGTGGGCAGGGCTGGGGCTAAACCAAGGCAGAGACATTTGCAACCAGTTTCTGCCAGAAGTGCCAAGTGGATGATCCATCTCGGCCTCCTCCAGTGGTCCCCAGCATTCGCAGATATCAGGTTTCAGCCAATTCGATTCACTCCACATGATACTAAGAAACAGTTGGAGCCACTGGATAGTGCAAAGTCTAGGGGCCTGACAACATTCCAGCAATAGTACTGAAGACTTGTGTGCGTCAGAATTACTCAGGTAACCAGCCAAGCGATTCCAGCACAGTTACAATGCTGGTATCTACACAGCAATGTAAAACACTGGCCAGCACAATAAGCAGAACAAATCCAACCCAGCCAATGACACCCTATTCTACTCTGCAATAAACTGGGGGAAGATGTCATTCACCGTCCTATCAAGCAACACTTATACAGCAATAACCTGCTCAGTGACGCCCTGTTTGGGTTCCACCAGGGCCACCCAGCTCCTGGTCTCATTCCAGTCTTGGTCCACACAAAAGAGCTGGACAGCAGAGGCGAGGGGAGAGTGATTACCTTTGATAATGAGTGCGGCATTAATGAGCCTTAGTAAAATCAAAATTAATGGCAATTCAGAGGAGTCCTCTGCCAGTCACAAAGCAAGAGGGTAGTGGCTGCCAGAGGGTCAATCATTTCAGCCTCAACAGCCCCTCAGAATGGTGTCTTCTCTCCATCGATGAGGTCAGAAGTGGGGATGTTCACTGACTGTTGCACAATGTTCAGCACATTCGGAAGTCTTCGGATACTGCAGTAGTCCACATCCAAATAGAGCAAGAACTGCGTAATATCCACCTTTGGACTGACAAGTGTCAAGTCACATTCACGCCACACTAATGCCAGGCAATGACCATCTCCAGTAAGAGAGAACCCAACTATCAGCTTTTGACATTCAATGGCATTATCATTAATTCCCCCACTGTCAATATCCAGGAGGTTACCTGTGACCAGGGGAAGCTGTACTGACACCCAGAGAGGAGTCATATTGGACTTGAACAATAACTGTCTCTCTCTCCACAGATGGTGCCAGGTCCTGCTGGGTTTCTGCAGCACTGTCTGCTTTTATTTCAGATTTCCAGCACCTACAATAGTTTGTATTTATTACAGGCAAGAATGTGTTGAATTCCAACTACCAATAGTCACAAGCCAATAAAAGAGACGTAATTTTGATTTAGTGCCTTCTACAAGTTTCACGGTTTCGTGTTCAGCACACACGTACTTGATACCCAGGGGTGTCATATCCCTTTAAGCTTAACTTTGGAAGCCACTGTGATTGTCAATTGGAAATATTTTTCTTCCCTAAATCCCATAATGTTCATAGTCACTGCTAGGAAAGCTTCGCCACGTGGAACACCAGGTCACTTCACTGCACAGGCGAGTCTTCAATAGCTGAGAGACCAAAAGAGATTTGACTAAGTACACAATGTTCAGCACCATTTCAGACTCCTCAGATACTGAAGCAGTCCACATTCAAATGCGACATAATCTGTACAATATCCAGGCTTGGGCTAACAAGTGGCAAGTAACATTCGCGCCAGACAAATGCCAGGCAATGACCGTCTCCAACGAAAGACAATCTATCCATCACCCCTTGACATTCAATGTATTACAATCATTGAACCCCCCAGCTATCAACATCCAGGGGTTACTATTTATCAGAAACTCTACCGGACTCGCCATTTAAATACAGTGGCTACACGAGCAGGTCTGAGGCTATGACTACTGCAGCGAGTAACTCCCCTCCTGACTCCCCAAAGCCTGTCCACCATCTACAAGGCACAAGTCAGGAGTGTGATGGAACACTCCCCACTTGCCTGGATGAGTGCAGTTCCAACAACACTGCAAAAGCTTGGCACCATCCAAAATAAAGCAGCCCACTTGACTGGCACTGCATCCACAAATATCCACTCCCTTCACCACCGATGATCAGTAGCAGCAGTGTAAACAATCTACAAGATGCACTGCAGAAATTCACCAAAGACCCGTAGACAGCACCTTCCAAACCCACGATCACTTCCATCTGGGAAGTCAAGGGCAGCAGATATATGGGAATGCCACCCACTGCAAGTTCCCCTCCAAAACACTCACCATCCCAACTCGGAAATATATCGCTGTTCCTTCGCTGTTGAAGCTAGCACATGGACTGCAGCGGTTCAAGAAGGCAGTTCACCACCAACTTCTCAAAGGCAAGTAGGGACGGCAATAAATGCTGGCCAGCCAGTGACACCTATGTCTCACGTGAATTTTTTAAAAGAAAGTGCTGCTAACTCTAGTGAGTGTTATCAGCACTGGTAACACCAGAAAAGTTATTTAAAGCCTTCTCATCTCCCCATTCACTCATCAGAGCAATCAACCCCAGATGACGCAAGATTTAAAGTTTGTTATGCAAATTCTCACAAACAAGTATTTTTGATATTCAGATAAACGCAATGTTTCTACGAAACTGCTCTGAATGAGAACTTCCGGATGGGAAAGGATGACACAACAGAGACAACACAAATATTGAAAGCAGGGAGTCAATATAAAAAAAAAGTCAACACAAGAGCCTTGCTATAGTGAAAGTGAAACTGGATGGAATATGATTTGAATCCATTTTTTTAGGACAGCAACCAAATTAGACAGGAGACTTAGAAAAGTG